ATGATGGTTGCAGCCTTCAGGTATTGTGGGATGATGGCATGTGTTAAAGATAGATTGAACAGCTCTGTAGGTATTTCTGCCAACTGGTCAGCACACGCTTTAACTACTGCATCAGGAATCCCATCAGGCCCAGCAGCTTTCCTGGGATTTACTGCTCTCAGTGTTTTTCTCACCATGCACCTGAAGAGAAAGAAGTGCAGCATCGTGGTCCTTGTGAGGCAGTATGTCCAGGTTCTTGGTGGTCTCAAAGCGTGCAAAAAAGCTGTTTAGCTCCTCTGCCAGAGTGCTACTGCTCTCGCTGTTTGTTGGGCCCTGGCCTTTATAGTTGGTCAGGGCCTGAATCCCCCTCCACATCTGCCCTGGGTCACTGTCAGTAAAGTGGCCCTTGACCTTCCTCATCTACATCTCCTTAGCTTTGCTACTTACGAATTGGATTCTGCTCTACCTGGTTGGTAAAAGCAGCTAGCTATGAGACAGAGAGACATTGACTCAGTCAATGCTTCTATAAAGAAAGGCAACATCCCAAGAGACATTTTCTTCCCAATTCTCAGGAGTGAGGCTTGTATCTAGGCTAGGAGATAAGAATAAATCATTTTCTTGTGATGATAACTCCCAGTTTTGGGGAAAATTGATTTTTTGATGTGGTTGTAAAGTGAATGTTGTGATGGTTAAATAAATGCTGTGTTTGTTAAGTGTACACGGTGATCCTTAAATGAATCCATTATATCCAATGGAGGAAATTGGAAGTAAATTCTGGATACCAGCAAAACCTGTCAAAAATTGCAATTACATGACTGCAGGATTCTGCAAATGGTTGTAAATGCAAACTGGTTATGAAGCATCCAAAATGTGATCACATGGACCATGGTTGTGTGTGCCGCCATTGGAACTTCAAAAATGGGTCGTGAGTACCTTTTTGATGGTCTGTTGTAACTTCTAACAGCTGCAAAGCAACTGGTCATTGAGTGAGGACTACCGGAATTAAAGAGAGTTTAGATCCATAGCATTCTGGATTTCCCCAGGTCTGGGCATAATTTAGAAACTGCATTAACCACTCTCAGGAGTGATCTATGAAGGGACTTGAATGGAAAAACTGCAGCCGCATTTGACTTTTTAGACCTATCGGGACCTTTTGGTATTGTCAATAACAATACCCTGCTAGCTGCCTATGATGGTTGGCAGTTGAGAAAACCAGGTTATAGTGGTTGAGTAAGCAGAATCAATTGGTGGTGGCAGGTATGGGACAGATGAGGCCTTCATAAAGGTTATCTTCTGGAATGCCCCAGGACTTGGTTCTTTCCCCTATCATGTTTAACATTTACAGAAAACTGCTGGGAAAGGCCATCCACTTATCATCATTCTGAATCTGGCAAGAAAAAGAAGAGACCATGCTGTGGGTTTCAACAGAAAATTTTACTGGTCTTGACTCGGTACATAGTGAATACAGGACGTTTCTAGCCAGCATTTCCAGCTTCCACTGGCCAGCTGGCTATGAGAGCTCGGCATGCTCCGCCCATGCCTGCTACAGGAAGAAGAGAGAGGAACCCACCCCACTTTACATTGAGGGGGGCTGTGTGGAGAGAGTTTCCTCCTTTAAATTCCTGGGAGTCTACCTCAGCAAAGATCTCACCTGGAAAATCAACACAACCCAGGTGGCCAGAAAGGCCCACCATAGACTCCATTTCCTTAGGGTCTTGCGAAAGAATAAAGTGGAACAATGACTGATGACCTCATCTTACCGGTCCACAATAGAAAGCATCCTCACATATTGCATTATGGTGTGGTATGCTGGCTTGACAGCCACGGATAGAAAGACATTACAGAGGGTGGTGAGCACAGCACAAAACACAGTGGGCTGTTCCCTGATAGCACTAGATGACATCACTAGGGCTCGGTGCCTTAGAAGAGCGAGAAAAATTCTCAGGGATGACTCACATCCCCTTTTCACTCTCCTACCAACGGGTAGGAGATATAGAAGCATAGCCAGATGCACCAACAGGCTGAAGAAAAGTTTCTATCCATGGGCCATCAGACTTCCGAATGGAAAATAACTTCATGTCAACATAGTATGATAGACTTGCAGGGCCGGTGCATTGTGCAACAAGGTCACATCGTGTAATAAGATTGGGACTGGGTTAGGGACTTCTGTCCTCACTGTGAATTGTGTTGGGGGGTGTACGAAGGGAGGCTCAGCCAATCTCATTGTACACATGTTGTACTCTGACAATAAAGATAATAATACTGGCCTGCTCCAGCAATCACTCTCCAGACCTGGATTCATGGCTTTTGAACTGGCTTCCTGTGTTTCTTTCTTCCTGACCCTCCACCAGTGTGAGTGCATCCTAGCACCCAGTGCCCAACACCCAACTGTGCAGCCGCTCCACCCTCTTCAGTTTGTTGCAACTCCAACTCTCACACATTGACACCACTGCTTTGGGATGAGTCATCACCAATATGCTGGTGATATCCAGTTGCACGTCTCCACCCCAGACCCAATGTGAGATTTGGTGGAAGTTCTGATCTGAAGCCTGGAAATTGTCAAGGTCTGGATAGAGAGAAACAGGCTGATGGCTCAATCAAAACAAAACAAGTCAGAGTGGTTGTAAATTCAGTTTATTGAAGTTTACTGATTCCAATATTGTTTTCCCCCAGAAAGATCAGGCTCACAGCCGTGGGATCCTCCTACGACTGTCCATGTAATGCTATGTAATGCCATGTATGTAGCCATGTAATGGCTAGCCAGTCATGGTACAAAAATGACACTCTGCAGCAATGTCAATAGTTGCCAGTGTTGTCTAGCTAGTACAGTTAAATTTGTTGGCCATTATCTTTAAAGCCCTTTGTAGTTTGGGACTACTAGGAATCTAAGAGGCTTCCTTTCCCAGATAGAGCTTGTGTAGCTAATCCAAATGGTCAGCAGGTGTTTACTAAGGATTCAAACCTTCCAATAGATGGATCCAATGATGGGCTATCTCCTTGGGGGCTCCTTTCCTTTGTAATAGCCTTTCTCCCAAATAAAAATGGTTTCCCCTTTCATAGCCATCTGGAAAATAGCAGAGACTTGGCTTTTTTGGAAGGCTTTCAGGGGCTGGTGAGCGCCTGCCACTTTGATCCACTGTACTCTTTTAAATAATTCATTCATTATTAATGTAACATTGATGATTGTTATTTTGATATATTGTTATCCATAAAATAATAGTCTACTAGGATTCATGGAGTGCATAAATTGTACAAAGAGAAAAAATCAAATAGGGAGAAGGAAAAGAACAGATCCTGAGAACATTGTTAACACCCTTTAAGGCAGGGGTGTCAAACTCAAGGCCCGGGGTCCGAATCTGAATGCTTAGATCTGGCCCGCCCTGGAAATAGTGAAGGACCAGCCTGTAGTGCCTCTGCTGGCAAAAATGGAGCTCGCAAGAGCTGTGCATGCCCCCCCCCCCAGCTCCATTTTTGCTGGCAGAGGGTTGCAGGATGCAGTCATAGCTGAAAACGGAGCTCAGGAGCCCATTTTCATCAGTAGAGTGCTCAGACCACTACAGGTGCCCCCCAACACAAGTGACATCATGTTGGCCATGCCCACCCCGCCCCCTGAGGTCAAACATAACCCTGTTGTGGCCCTCAATGAATCGAGTTTCCACTCTTGCTTTAAGGTATTGTGGTTTGGAGCAGGAAAAATGGGATAGGGAACTATGTCCCCAAAACTCAGTTGCCCCCAGTTTTTGAATGAATGGTCTAATCTATTTGTATATTAAAGATGCTTGAATTCTGCTAGCATAGATCAGAGAAATACTCCCAGCTGTTCCCTGATTTTCCCTGAAAACAGTGAACTAAGACAGAGCTACGAACACCAGCGTAATACACTCTTTCAGCTAGTGATCATCAAAGAAATCTGAACATTCTGAATCAGATTTTGTTTCCAAATCTTTTTTTCTGTCCAATCCTCCAATCGGCTAGGGCTTCACTATAAACCGAAGTGTCTTGATGGGCCACACCTTAGTCCTTTTCTCACGCATATGTTTTGATCAGTAATGATGATATGAATGCATCTCGCATTATTGATTGGCAAGGCCTCGCCTACAAATGACTGGAGGGGGTACGCAGCACCGTTCCATGCTGTACGAAAGATGTACCACATTGCACCTTTCAGGTGTGTTGTCCTTAGAACTTACAAGATCTGCAGAACAAAAATGCCAGAGAATCTCTTTGCAGCCGCCACTAGATGGTACCCAACTCACAAATTCCAGCTGAACGGTCTTTCCCATGCTGGTTTGGAGCAGCGCATCCTTCACAGATGGAGACAGTGCAGCCTCTTTGCAAGACTAAAACTGCCTGTTTTGGATGGCCAGGATGAGACAAGGTAGCTGTCTGTCAGGCAGGGATGGAGCCAGTCCTTTTCAGGACAGCTTTAGCTCTGACTGGGAGTCACCACTCAAATAGACAACAGTCCTAGGGAATGGCAGCTTTCTGGAAGTGCTGAAGGCAGCTTGGAGAAGGGAGGGAGGCAAGCCTTTGCTGGAGGATTTTTGGTTCAGGTGTAAGCAGACGGAGTCTGGCTGTGATGAGAGATCCCATGAACAGAAGGGGATCTAGGTCTAGGGGCTGCTCACCTGGGCAGTGGATTTAATACTTGGAGGAAAGGGAAGATGTTATGCTTCTTGTTACAGCCTGTTTCCAAAATGTGACTGAAACCCTGGAGGAGACACCCCATCATCCAGCCTCCACTCTTGTGCACGCAGACCTATGTCTTTGGAAGCAACCACTCGTTGAGAGGCAAGCAGTCAAGAAGGCAGAGCTCCTAGCAGGGAAACTGATCCTGATCCTGTTGCCTTTGTGCTTATGGACTTCTTGGGTTGATTTTGTTTTTGCCGGACAACCTTCACCTGTCTCGAAACATGAACTCCTTCTAAGAACTGGGATCGGACTTCCTGAACGTCTGCTTTCCTTCCTTTTGGTTTGGTTTTACTTTTTTTTTTCCCTAAAGAAAAGAAAAGTTGTGAACCATGATCACAGTGAATTCAGATGGGAAAATAATGGTCAGAAGATGTCTCGTCACCTTGAGGCCTTTTAGGTAAAGTTCTCCTCTACCACTTCCTGGGTGTGTGCAATTAGAAAGAAAGAGGTGGGTGGGTAGTGGCTTCAAAACTGCATGTGGTCACCTCTCTTTTTTTTTTTCCTGATGTGATAAACCCTGTAAGATGAACGCAGGTAGCAGAAAGTAATTTGTTTGAGACTCCCCTGAAATGTGGGCAGAGAGAGGAAGTGGGTGGCATAATGCAGCTTTCAGCAGCTTGTTTGGAATTTGGGAAGGATTCACCAGGGGGAAGGCAAGATGTTGTTATTAAACTTCATTGTTATGTAGTGTTATACACTCACAGCTGGAGTTATTGCAGATACAAGCACACCATCTTTCATCTCCCCCCTCCCTTTCTCTAAGTATTTGCTGATTCTTATTTTGTCCTCTTTTACTGGGATAATAAGGATAGATTATTTGGATCAGGTCTGCACATCAGCCTGCTTTAAAAGAACAGCACTTGTCTTCTTCTTTAGAGGCTTTTCTCAAGGTCCTTCCTCCGCTGTTCTCCCTCTCTTGCTCCTAAAATTAGTTGACAGGATTTGAAGCTTATTTTCTGGCTTCTTTCAAACGGCACCTTTTTTTTGATTGCACCAAATACAGGATGAGACATTAAATAGATGGCAGCAAGCATGAGTGAGAACCCCAAACAATGATCATCTGATGCACTGAGTTACCATTTTTCCAACTAGTTTCAGATTTTCTTTGTCCTAGGAAATGCATTTACTAATTTATATAGCTTCCTTCTCACCATAATGACTCTGGTAAAATTAAAACCTGAAACAAAATAGTGTAAACAAAATAAACTCATAATAAACCACGTACATGGGGTCAAAAGAAAAAGCATATCACTTAGTCACTAAGTCCACAACTAACAACCAACCAATAGGGCTAACTTAAATAATGTTTAACTTATAGTCTTCAGGTGTTTGGGCACAAATGTGCTACAGTGCTATTTTTATTTGTCTCATCTAGCAGAAGGCTGCTCCACTTTAAGGGGTTGTTGGTGAACTTTCAGAATGAGCTAATCTAACAGCAACAACAAGGTCAATTAAAGAAGAGGCTCAAATGAAGCTAGGATCTAGGCGTGCAATGTATTGCATGGTATTACCACAGAGGCCATGGATTGGAGTAATTGTAGCTCAATTCATTTCACAGGTGGAAGACCTATCTGTATGTGAATGGTGACAATGATGGGGTTGGCAATATTCTAAAAAAATCAGAAGAGCCTAGTTGGCCTAGAGCATAGTGCTTAAATCTAGACATGGGAATGTAGAGCTCTTCAGACATTTGTGGACTGTAATCCCATCAACCCCAGTCTATGAAAATCCTTTGTGCAGCACATTGAAAGCTGAAATTCAACAACTCCCGGGAAGCCACAGGTTTCCTATACTTTACCCAATCAGAAAAACCATCAATAATCTTAAAAAAAAAAAAAGAAGGTATGTGGGGATGTCAACAATTGTTCCAGCTGCCCATTGGCTGCCCAGGTCTCCCAGCTCATGACAAATAGTCCCAAGGAGTAAGAAATAACTGTAGGACATTTCTGCACTGCATCAATTTGTCTCCCAGGCTGTTCCTGGCTGTTTTCAGAACTTCAGAAATCCTAGTCTGGATTGTAGTGAGCTGACAATGGGTCCCCTCTGGTGTTTAGACCAGACTGTGGCCAACGTAAGACCTGATTGGTCATCACTTTGCTTCCTCTCTTTCCCAGTCCATGAAGTCAAACCTTGTTGGTGGGGATGAGTCTCCCAATGCTTGTCTTTTCCTTGTAACCATTATTCTATCCTAATTAATCCCCAAGGCTTTCCTTTACTTCCCCCTGATATTTGCATAAAGGATGGGATACTTTCAACTGTGTCACCCTTATTACTTTCTTTGACACTAAAACCACCTTTTTTTCCTCCCACTTATGGTAGCATCCAAGCTCTGATGATAAATAAAACAATAGGGAACAGGTTGCTGTTGCTGATCTATAGAAACTTTAAAGCAAGGAAGAACTATGTATTCAGCTTCATAGAGCAGAAGTGTTCTTACACTTCAACTTAAAGATTTTTTTTTTTTTAAGAAAAAGGGAAGGGTAGCTTTATAGGAATGGAAGCAGAGATTGAGAAAGCAGAGAGTTCATGCTCTACCCAGCCTGGACAGAAATAAAAAAGAGTGCCTACTGGAACATGTATAATTGAATGGAGCAGGAGCTCCTAGAAAGGAAGATTGTTCTTAATTTAACAGGGCATTGTTATATTAATCTCAATATTGTAAAAAGAACAGAAAAACCCAACAGCGTGACTGGATAAAGTAGTGGAGCCCATATTCTGCAGAGGAGGGAGAAGGCTGGGTACTGCAGCCAATCAGAGCAGGGGCTTCAATTAAAACGGAATGAAGACATCTGGACATCTTCTGTTCTGAAGGGCATAAAATGTCTCAGGTCAAAAAACCACAGTTTCGAATGAAAGAGGGAAAGTTCAGTTGTGGGATGCATTTGCAATGGGTTGGGAGTGGGAGAAGGATGACATCAACCCTTCCTGCACTCAGGAAGTGGTGAGAAGCCTGCACTGGTGAAAGGCCAAGTAGAATGTCCATAGATTATAAGAATGAAGTGTCTGGAATGGGAGAGAAGTGATTAAAAAAATAAGATTCTCAGCATATTTTCACCTAAGATTCTCACCAACCCCAACAAGGTCTTCCTTTTAAGAGCTAAAACTAGGTATGATCCTTGTTTAGGATTTCTGCTTCATAAAACCAGGTAGTAATTGATTGCTCATGTATTAAAGATTGGAGACTGGAGTCTTTAGAGCGCTTGTTGTTCACTTGATCATTTTGCCAAAGATAAAGCTACTTCAAGGGGGGAAAATGTACCAGTCTTTTTGGTTGTGGCACCCTGGAGTGCTCTTCCCAAAGAAACTTGCCTGCCACTGGTGCAAATACTTTGGCTCCAGGTGTTTGTTCAGCTATTTCATTAGGTAAGTCGGATGAATTTGATAATGATTTTATCTGTTTTGCTGAATCTCTGCCATCATTTTAATTGCTGCATTATTCTTATAGGGTTTTGCATATTCATTGTTTTTCTTATTTCATTGACTGCTGCTCTAGGAGTTTTTATTGGAAAAATAGCATATAAATCTTCAAAATGCTTACTTGGAGGGGATGTACCAGTAATAATACCAGAATATAATTAAAATATCATTAAATATCACTATATTACATTGTATTTGCAATGAGATGGTATAGAAATACACTGCTCAAAAAAATAAAGGGAACACAAAAATCACAAAAATAAGACATCCTAGATCTGAATGAATGAAATTTTCTTATTAAATACTTTGTTCATTACATAGTTGAATGTGCTGACAACAAAATCACAAAAAAATTATCAATGGAAATCAAATTTAGCAACCCATGGAGGTCTGGATTTGGAGTTACACTCAAAATTAAAGTGGAAAAAAACACTACAGGCTGATCCAACTTTGATGTAATGTCCTTAAAACAAGTCAAAATGAGGCTCAGTAGTGTGTGTGGCCTCCACGTGCCTGTATGACCACCCTACAATGCCTGGGCATGCTCCTGATGAGGTGGCGGGTGGTCTCCTGAGGGATCTCCTCCCACACCTGGACTAAAGCATCCCCCAACTCCTGGAGAGTCTGTGGTGCAATGTGGCGCTGGTGGATGGAACGAGACATGTCCCAGATGTGCTCAATTGGATTCAGGTCTGGGGAACGGGCGGGCCAGTCCATAGCATCAATGCCTTTGTCTTGCAGGAACTGCTGACACACTCCAGCTACATGAGGTCTAGCATTGTCTTGCATTAGGAGGAACCCAGGGCCAACCGCACCAGCATATGGTCTCACAAGGGGTCTGAGGATCTCATCTCGGTACCGAATGGCAGTCAGGCTACCTCTGGTGAGCACATGGAGGGCTGTGCGGCCCCCTAAAGAAATGTCACCCCACACCATTATTGACCCACTGCCAAACTGGTCATGCTGGAAGATGTTGCAGGCAGCAGAACATTCTCCACGGCGTCTCCAGACCCTGCCACATCTGTCACATGTGCTCAGTGTGAACCTGCTTTCATCTGTGAAGAGCACAGGGTGCCAGTGGCGAATTTGCCAATCTTGGTGTTCTCTGGCAAATGCCAAACGTCCTGCATGGTGTTGGGCTGTAAGCACAACCCCCACCTGTGGACGTCAGGCCCTCATACCACCCTCATGGAGTCTGTTTCTGACCGTTTGAGCAGCCACATGCACATTTGTGGCCCGCTGGAGGTCATTTTGCAGGGCTCTGGCAGGGCTTCTCCTGTCCCTCCTTGCACAAAGGCGCAGGTAGTGGTCCTGATGCTGGGTTATTGCCCTCCTATGGCCTCCTCCACATCTCCTGATGTACTGGCCTGTCTCCTGGCAGCGCCTCCATGCTCTGGACACTACACTGACAGACAGCAAACCTTCTTGCCACAGCTCGCATTGATGTGCCATCCTGGATGAGCTGCACTACCTGAGCCACTTGTGTGGGTTGTAGACTTCGTCTCATGCTACCACTAGAGTGAAAGCACTGCCAGCATTCAAAAGTGACCAAACCATCAGCCAGAAAGCATAGGAACTGAGAAGTGGTCTGTGGTTACCACCTGCAGAACCACTCCTTTATTGGGGATGTCTTGCTAACTGCCTATGCTTTCCACCTCTTGTCTATTCCATTTGCACAACAGCATGTGAAATTGATTTCAGTCAGTGTTGCTACCTAAGTGGACAGTTTGATTTCACAGAAGTGTGATTGACTTGGAGTTACATTGTGTTGTTTAAGTGTTCCTTTTATTTTTTTTGAACAGTGTATATCAGGCAGATAGATCCAGGGCAATCTACTGATCTGGGGGAAAAATCCCCTTTCTCTCTCCACACACACACACACAAATAATTCTTTCTTGTAGAAAAATTACAATTGGTTCTTGTGCCTAAAATACAGAGAGAAAGAACTTCCATGTGAGATGCCTTGTAAAGTTTCTTTGA